CCTCACCCCCGCCCCCCTCGGGCATGTCCTCTCCCACCTGGGTCTTCCTCGGCCCCTCGTTCTGCCCCTGGTCCAACCTCCGCGGGACGCGTGTCACATCCTCAGGCTCCACCCACCCTACCACTCCTGCTCTCCGGCCTTCCCATCGGCCAGTGAGCCCCGTAACCGGTGCGCCCCCTGTCCCCGCAGCCCGAGCAGACCGTCCTCATTGACAACTGCCAGCAGAAGTGCGTGTGCCACGCGGGGCGGGGCATGGTGTGCGAGGCCCACAGCTGCAAGCCCGGGCAGGTGTGCCAGCCCTCAGACGGGGTCTTGAGCTGCATCACCAAAGGTGCTGGGCTGGGGGCTGGTGTGATCCTCATGGGGTTTCAGAGACCCCCCCTTGTCCCAGAGACCCTCGGGATGAGGCGGGATAGGAACCGTGTTCCTTAAAAGGCCTGGTAGTAAGTAGGGCGGACGAGCAAGGCCGAGTTCTAAGGAAACCTATTTGGCAAAGACAGGCTGCCACCCAAAAATGGGGGGGGGGGCGCAGAAATCAGAGCTTGGAGGTCTCCAGCAAAGATCCCACCCAGGCTGGGGCCTTAGGGGGTGCCTCTCACCCCCAAACCAAGGACCAGCTATTTCTAAGGGCAGCGTCTCAGGCCTGGGACTCCTCTCAGACTAAGGTAGGACAAAGAGTCACCTCCAGGGTCAGGCAGAAGACTCCTAAAAGAATACGGCCTCTGAGCTAAGGGTCAGGGGTGGGGTGGGGCTCCCCTCAGGAGACCACAGCGCGAATGTGGTCGTCATTGAGTGGACTCCGCTGGTCATGTCACATTCCGAGTAAACTGTGCCCCGTGGGACTCCCAGGGGCTCCGGTGTAGCCTTGAACCTCTAACCTCTCTGTCAGCACCTGAGCCTTAACCGCATACAGGGACTCCATCATACAGACCTGGCTGTTGTTGCTGTCACGTCCCCCGGGTACAGCCCTGCCCTGCTCTGTGGGTTTCCAGGACCCCTTTACGGGAGCAGAGAGCCCTGGCTGTTCTCCCTTGGAGGAGGAGGAGCTGGTGGTTTTGAACTGCTGACCTTATGGTCCCAGCCCATCACATTACCACTCCACCACCAGCAGTCCGCCCTCCCCATCAAGGTTAGAGCCAAGGAAACCCTACGGAGTAATGCTCCTCCGCAGAGCATGGGGTCGCTGTGAGAACGGACTCCGCCCCAACAGCTTCGGTTTGGGGGTTGAGGCTTTGCACCCACAGAGGTGCTGCCAAAACCCATTGGGAAGCATCCTGCTGAGGCTCCTGCTGGGCAACCAGCTGTGCCCCATCAGGACAGCAAGTCAGGGAGAGCCGTTCTCACAATGGACACGGAAGTGTCCCTTCGGCAGCCTCTAGTGGCCAAGCCGAGCACTGTGCCAAAGAAATGGATCACTGGCGCTCTGGGAAAGGGAAGGGAATTTTTAAGGTTAGGGTCTTAAATACAGGGATTCCAGGGGCTGGGATTCAGTGATGCTAGAGAAAGGGTCTTGGACACAGAGACCCTCAGGGGCCGAGTCTCAGAAATGAGACCGCAAGGCCAAGGGATCCCAGATCCAGCCACCCAGGGATGGAGCCTGGCCTGGAGGGACCATCAGGTCGTGAGAGTTGGATATTTGGCTTTGGAGTCAGGGTCTCAGATGTGGTCAGACTTAGTCCCCTGAATAGCTAAGGGATCATCAACAATAACGCTCGGGACCTGGGGCTCAGACACAGTCCTCGATCTCAGATACGGGGGCCTCTGGGACCACACAGTCCACCCAGGCCTGGTGTCAGATATTGGGAAACTTGGGGGGGCTGGGTCTCGGGCACATCAAAATGTGGATCCAGTAAGGAGCCCTGGTGGCCCAGGTAAGACTGCTAACTTCAAGGTGAGCAGTTCAAATCCAGCATCCACTCTACTGGAAAAAGATGAGTCGGAATCAGCCTGATGGCAGTGGGTTGGTTGTGTTGAAAATCCTGGAGCGTGGGGTTGGTCTAAGGCAGCCCTCGAAGCCCGTTCCCGACGCAGACTTGGCAGTGCTGGGGATGAGCTGGCTTCCTGCCAAACAGCCCCCGAGACCCTCTCTCCTCTGCCCCCAGACCCGTGCCACGGCATGACGTGTCGGCCACAGGAGACCTGCAAGGAGCAGGGAGGCCAGGGCGTGTGCGTGCCCAACTACGAGGCCACGTGCTGGCTGTGGGGCGACCCGCACTACCACTCCTTCGACGGCCGGGACTTCGACTTCCAGGGCACCTGCAGCTACGTGCTGGCAGCAGCTGGCTGCCCCGGGGTCAGCGCCCAGGGCCTGACACCCTTCACCGTCACCACCAAGAATGAGAACCGGGGCAACCCCGCTGTGTCCTACGTGAGGCTGGTCACTGTGTCTGCCCTGGGCACCAACATCTCCATCCACAAGGGAGAGATCGGCCAAGTCCGGGTACGGCCAGCAGAAGGAGCCCCTGAGCCCCGGGCAGGGTGGAGGGCTCCTGCCAGCTCTTGCTCCTCCACTTTCTCCGGAGCCAGAAACAAAAAGGGCCATCCACCTTCCTTCTCTCGGGCATGAAACCGAGCCTGGTCCTGATAGGAGCCCTGGTGGCATAGTGGCTAAGAGTTGGATTGCTAACCTCAAGGTCAGCAGTTCAAGACTACCAGCCACTCTGTGGGAGAAAGATGAGGCTTTCTCCTTCCATAAAGATTTACAGCCTCGGAAACCCACAGGGGCAGTTCTGCCCTGCTCCATGGCTTTGAGTGAATCCTCCTCCGGCTAAGGGCTTTCATGTGGAATTGGAAAACTTTGCTTCTTTCGTAAGGGCTCCTGGATTAGAATCCAGATTCCCTATCCTATGAGTCAAGTAGGTCAAGGGGTCCAAGAGACTTGCCTTGATGGGCCTCAATTTCCCCATCTGTCAAGTGGGGATTGGAGTATCCCCGTACTCCCCGCCCCCAACGCCTAGGTGGCACCTACAAAGTGTTCAGCTCCAGGTCAGGCCCAGGTAGGCACCTGGTGAATCAAGGTGCCAATGAGAAGCGTTAGAGACATGGGCACAGAGAGATTCAAGGAGGTGAGGAGCCCGAGGGGGAGAAGAAACGGAGGCGCAGGTGGCTTGCAGCGCTGAGCAAGAGAGTAAGGGGCAGAACCAGGTAGTTCATGCCCCACCCCACCCACCCACCCCTGTCTATGGTGCTGGGTGAGTGGGAGGCTGAGGCTGGGCAGGGCCTGAAGATGCTCAGAGGAAGCAGTGAGGAAAGATGCAGAAACAGTGGGGTCAGAGGGGGAGAGGTGAGCCAGGCAGAGACCCAGAAACAGAGAGAGAGAGGGAGATGAGCATTCTGCAGAAAGGCCCAGAAGAGAAAACTGAGAGAGAGAGAATTTAGAAGTGTGTGTGTGTGTGTGTGTGTGTGTGTGTGTGGTGCATGGGGTGTGTGGGGTGGGGTGGGAGGGGATATGAGAGCTCTGCAGAAAGGCCCAAAAAGAGAGCTGGACTCAGAAAGAGAGAACTTAGAGAGAGCAAAGAGAGAGCGACAAGTGCAAAGTCAACAGTACAAAGAGGAAGAGGCCCAGACACGCAGGGCTCTGGCTGTGGAGCCGCCGGCACCGTCGCCCCTTCCTTTGACGACCAGGCATCTGCGGCACTGCTGGCAGCAGCCGGCTGGCCTGGGGTCAGCGCCCTGACACCCTTCACCGTCACCACCCTAAAGAAAGACCGAGAAAGAGAATTCAGAGACAGATAGGCAGACAGCCAGATGGGGAGGCGGGAGGGGTAGAAAGAGAGCCGGACCCAGGCAGATACAAACTTAGAAAGAGAAGTGGCGTGAGGCTCCATTCTGGGCCAGAGCGGAGGCCCACGTGTGTGAGACACCTCCAGAGTCATGAGCAAGACCTTGGCGGGGAAGCCACCAAGGGGCCTCCGCCCTGGACTGACAGCCCTTCCTCCCCAGGTGAACGGGGTGCTGAGGGCGCTGCCCGTCTCCGCGGCTGGTGGGCGCCTGGTAGTGACCCATGGTGCATCAAAGGCGGTGTTGGCGGCCGACTTCGGGCTGCAGGTCACCTACGACTGGGACTGGCGGGTGGAGGTGACACTGCCCAGCAGTTACCACGGCGCGGTGTGCGGGCTCTGCGGAAACATGGATGGCAACCCAGGCAACGACCAGGCCTTCCCCAACGGCACGCTGGCACCCTCCATCCCCGTCTGGGGCGGCAGCTGGCGGGCCCCAGGCTGGGACCCGCTGTGCTGGGACGTGTGTCAGGGCGACTGCCCAACGTGTCCCGCAGACCGGCAGGAGGAATATGAGGGCCCTGGCTTCTGCGGGCCCCTGGCCCCTGGGGCGGGAGGCCCCTTTGACAAGTGCCATGCCCACGTGCCGCCCGAGAGCTTCTTCAAGGGCTGCGTGCTGGACGTCTGCCTGGGCGGCGGGGCCCTGGACATCCTCTGCCAGTCGCTGGCCGCCTATGCCGCCGCCTGCCAGGCTGCAGGGGTCACCATCGAGGACTGGCGGGAGCAGGCAGGCTGCAGTGAGTGCCGGGGAGCCGGGCAGGCCGGGCTGGGGACCCTGGCTTCCCTCCTGAACCCCGGCGTCTGCTGGTCTCTTGTATCTCTCTGTCTCGCCATCTCCCTCCTGACTCCTGGAGCTTCTCCTGGGCTCTTTCTCTCGTCTCTCCTGCCGGGGCCTCTACCTTCCTCATTCTGTCTTGCTCTGTCCCGCTCAGTCTGGGCCCCTCTGGCTTCGCATTTTCTCTGACTCTCCATCCATCTCTTCCTCTTGGTCCCCTCTGGGCCCTGGTGTGGGAGGGAAGCCTCGCTCTAACTCCTCCAACTCTCTCACTCTTAGACTCTCTCTGTCTTCTCGGCCATCAGTCAGTCTTGGTGCTCAGACCCCACCCCTGACCCTAATCTCTCCCTCTCCCTCCTTCCGCCCGCAGGCATCACCTGCCCAGACAACAGCCACTATGAGCTCTGTGGCCCACCCTGCCCAGCCAGCTGCCCATCCCCTGCGCCCCCCTCAGGGCCCAGCCTCTGTGAGGGCCCCTGTGCGGAGGGTTGCCAGTGTGACCCGGGCTTCGTGCTGAGTGTTGACCACTGCGTGCCCCTGGACGGGGGCTGTGGCTGCTGGGCCAACGGCACCTATCACGAGCCTGGCAGCGAGTTCTGGGCCGATGGCACCTGCTCCCGGCGCTGCCGCTGCGGGCCCGGGGGCGGCTCCCTGGTCTGCAGACCCGCCAGCTGTGGGCTGGGTGAAGAGTGTGCCCTCCTGCCCTCGGGCCAGCACGGCTGCCACCCCATCAGCACAGCCGAGTGCCAGGCTTGGGGTGACCCCCACTACATCACCCTGGATGGGAAGCGCTTTGACTTCCAAGGCGCCTGCGAGTACCTGCTGAGCGCTCCCTGCGAGACGCCGCCCGCGGGGACCGAGAACTTCACGGTCACAGTGGCCAACGAGCACCGGGGCAGCCAGGCCGTCAGCTACACCCGCAGCGTTACCCTCCACATGTACAAGCACAGTCTGACCCTCAGTGCCCAGTGGCCCCGGCAGCTGCAGGTGAGCAGGGTTGGGAGCCAGCCCTGGGGCCGCAGGACAGGCTCACAATAGCATGGGGAAAGGGGGTAGTGTGAGAGAAAAGGTTTGGGGACCCCGTGGCTTGGAGCAGAGCCCTCCTCCTCTCTAAGCCTCAGTTTACTCTTCTGTAAAATGGGTCCAGAGACCCCCCGGGTAGCACTGTGGATTAAGCATTGAGCCACTAACTGCAAGGTCAGGCGTTCAAATCTACCAGCTGCTCTGCAGGAGAAAGATGAGGCTGTCCGCTTCTATAAAGAACCCCATAGAGCAGAGGTCTCCAAACTGATTCGACCTACTGCCCCTTTTCCAGAAAACAAACAAACAAAACCCTAAGCATCCCCTGGCTATTAAAGACTTTTACACTATACTCATAAATCAAAGGGGGGAAAAAAGCCACCTCACTGCCATCAAGTTGATTCCGACTCTTAGAGACCCGGCAGAGCAGAACCCCTGTGGTTTTCTGAGGCTGTACCTCTTCATGGGGATGGAAAGCCTCATCCTTCTCCTGCTATGGCCCCTAATCCAGGATCAGGATCAGGATCAGGATCAGGTGTAGGCTTCAGCTTTCACAGCCCCACTGGATTGCTCCAGGGAGCCCCGGTGGTACGGTGGTGATGCGTTGCCCTGCAACCCACAAGATCAGCAGTTCAAAACCACCAGCTGCTCCGTGGGAGAAAGACAGGGCTTTCTCGTCCTGTAAATAGTTACCATCTTAGAAACTCAGGGCAGCTGGGCCCTGCCCTGTAGACTCACTGTGAGTCGGCATGTACTCAGTGGCAGGGCGTTTGGTTGGGGAGTTGGCTTGTCCTCCGTACCATCACTTCCCAGAGGTCTGTACTGCTCACAAGTGTGTGAGGGGTTGCTATCCTTGTGTTCATCTTAAGGAGCCCCGGGAGCACAGATGTGAAGCGCCCAGCCTCAAATGGACAGATGGGCGGGTAGACCCCAGGGGGAAAGGCCGTCTCCATCAAAAGCGTTGTTGTGTTGTGAGGGGCTGTTGAGTGGGGAAGCTGCGCGGGCCTGCGCCGCCCTCCCGGTCATCATTCTGTCCCGGCCCAGTGTGACAGCCATTGTGTCCATCCATCGGGTGGAGGGTCTTCCTCTTTTTCACGGCCCCTCTATTTCCCCAAACATGGTGTCCTCTTCTAGGCCTGGGGAACCCCAAGAACCCCGCCAGGGCAGCTCTGTTCTGACCTCTAGGATCACTGGGACCAGCACATGGCAGACAGCATGTTCTGTTATTGTTAGTGCTAGTGTTTTTACTGTCGGGGCCAAACCCGGGACACTAACCTCACTGCCATCGACTGATTCTGACGCATCGTGACCCTGTAGGACAGGGGCAGCTGCCCCCAGGAGTTTCTGAGGCCTTAACTCACCATGGGAGTAGAAAGCCCTGTCTTTCTCCTAAGGAGCGACTGGTGGTTTTGAACTGCTGACCTTGCAGTTAGCAGCCCCACATGTAACCAGTCCACGTCGCCAGGACTCATGACCCGGGCAGAAGCCACAAAAGGCATCAGAAGCAGCGGAGTGATTGGTTCAGTATGTGGGGTCTGGGAGCGAGGCAGTCCTGGTTGAAGGCCTGTGATGCCTCTGACTTTATGACTGCTCTGTGCCTCAGTTTCCCTACCTGTTAAGTGAGGGTCTCTCTAGGGTCCTGAGTAGAGTAAATGAATCAGTACTTGTTACCAAAAAACAAACAAACAAAACACTGCCATCCAATTGATTCCAACTCATGACCACCGTGCGGAGGGTTTCCAAGCCTCTGAGTTTTTACCGGAGCAGGCAGCCTCATCTTTTTGCTGTGTAGTGCCTGGTGGGTTTGAACCGAGAACCTTTCAGTTAGCACGGAAATGTCCAACCCCCACCACCAGGGTTCATTGCTTAGAAAACACGTTTTCTTCAAGTGGCTGGCGCACATATTGTGTTTGCTATTATTGGATTTGCCCTGCCCCCTTGGACAGGCACTTAACCTCCGGGTGCCTCGTCTGTCCTAGCTCTCTCATACAGGGAGGTGCAGTAGTAAGGACTCTAAATGGTACTGTCTGTTTTGTTTAGGAAAACCATAATTGGTATGGTCGTTATTAACGAACAGGGCAAACATTGTAAGTGACTGTGGATTAGAGGGTCAGCTGAGGATTTAAAAGCAGTTACTGTAGTTAGTTATTTTGTGCAGTTATTATTATAGCTATAGTTCTTATTAAGATCAGCAGTTCAAATCCACCAGACCCTCCACAGGAGAAAGGAGGCTTTCAACTTCCATAAAGAGTTACAGTCTCAACTTCCACAAAGAGTTACAGTCTCAACTTCCACAAAGAGTTGCAGTCTCAGGAAACCCGGGGGCGGCGGGATTGGGGTGGGGGGTTTAGTTCTACCTGGTCCTATAGGGCCGCTAGGAGTCGGAATCAACTGGACCGGTGGCAAAGGGTTGGGTTGGGGTGGGGGCTACAATTTCAGCTAGCAGGTGTTGGGCCCGGGATCCGGCCCGAGAGGCCCGCCGCTCACCGCGCTCCGCCCGCAGGTGGACGGCAAGCTCTCGTCGCTGCCCTTCTACCTGGACTCGCGCCTGCACGCCTACCTGAGCGGCGCCGACGTGGTGGTGATGGCCGCCAACGGGCTCACGCTGGCTTTCGACGGAAACAGCTTCGCGCGGCTGCACGTGCCGGCGGCGTACGCGGGCGCCCTCTGCGGCCTGTGTGGGAACTACAACAAGGACCCCGAGGACGATCTGGACAAGAACCCCGGGAACTGGCAAGTGGGCGGTGCCTCCGGCTGCGGGGAGTGCGTGCCCGGGCCGTGCCCGCCACCGTGCACCCCAGAGCAGCAGGGTGCCTTCGCCGGCCCTGACGCCTGCGGCGTGATCTCGGCCCCGGACGGCCCCCTGGCACCCTGCCACGGCCTCGTGCCCCCCACCCAGTACTTCCAGGCCTGCCTGCTGGACACCTGCCAGGCCGAGGGCCATCCCGGAGCCCTCTGCCCTGCCGTGGCCGCCTACGTGGCAGCCTGCCAGGCCGCTGGAGCCCAGTTGGGCGAGTGGAGGCGGCCGGACTTCTGCCGTGAGTACTGAATGCATGGTGCAGACACATGGTTGGGAGGGGGGAGTCCCCCACTCCCCTCACGGGCCTCTAAGACAGAGTTCGGGGTCCATCCTGCTTCCCCAGAACCAGTCATCTCTGTCAGAGAGGTGCATTTGTAACAGCGCCCACAAATATACCAGATCTGGCTCGCAGTGGGGGTGGGGGAGGCAGACCCACCCAATTAGAGCTCCCGGTCCAGGCCAGAGAGACTGGACCGATGAGCCTGCTAATTTCACACAGTGAGATACGCCTGATGGATCAGCCACATGGTCATCCTAGTGACTTACACGTGGTCAGATGCCACTAGGGTGCTCCACAGCCCCAAATGCACCAGGTTGGGGACATCTCTGCTTAGGGACACTTGGTCAGATTGACACCAGGACAACACTCCACCCAGATGCATCCAGGCTAGCCTACCCATCGATCGCCAACTGGTCAGATTGAATTGGCCTGATTCCTTCGGCGGCATCTGGTTCTATCAATAAGCTAAGGCATATCTGGTCACAGGTAGCAGCTAGAATCAAGGCCCTGACGTTGTACCAGCCAGATTCATAGCCAATTAAAACCAAAGCCTCACAAATCAATGAATAAGTAAAAACAAAAAAACAAATCTCAAGTCGATTCTGACTCGTAGCGACCCCACAAAGAACTATTTATCCCCGTGGGTATTAAGGCTCTAAGTCTTTATAAGAGCCCCCGTCTTACTCTCCCAGAATGGGAGGGTTTGAACTGCCCACCTTGTGGTGAGCAGCCCAACACAACCCACTACACCACCAAGGATCCTTCCACAATCAGCTATCCCTGAGCAGTACACACACACACACACACACACACACACACACACACACACACACAGTCAGCTGTCCTTGGTCAGCTGTCCTTGGTCAGCTTCACTTTGTCAGAGAGATGTGTACATGGTCAAGTATCTCTCCATCTATGCCAGAAAGGCTCTGATAGATGTGTACCCGGCACCCTTGGGCATATTCCTCCCCTAGGACACATCTAGGAGCCCTGGTGGTGTAGTAGTTACTCCTTGGGCCGCGAAACTGCAAGGTCGGTAGTTCAAAACCACCAGCTGCTTCTCGAGAGAAAGACTGGGCTTTCTACTCCCATAAAGAGTACAGCCCCGGAAACCCACAGGAGCAGTTGCACCCTGTTCCATGGGGTGGCTGTGAGTCGCATGACTTGATGGCAACGTGAACACCCATCTGGTCAGATGCCCAGCCAGGGCCTGGGAGGCCTGATGTGGCTCAGTATCCCATCAGATGTATGTGGTCGAGTCCCAACAGTCAGACTGGCTGGAGCCTCAGAAATGTCCATGGGTCACGTAAACACACAACCTGGTCAGAGAAACCTGGCTGGAACTCTGCCCCTCAGTTAGTTTCCCTATGGAAGCCCTAGAGTCAGAAATATTTGATTGCCCCCCACCCCACGCCACGCCACCCTCCAGCCAGTCAGATGGCTGGATGCATCCGTTCCTGACATCCACCCGGACAAACTGTAGATGGTGGTGACTATGGAGTTGTCCCTATGCCTGGTGCCCCCTTGCGTGCCTAGTAGAATCACTCCACAAAGCTTTCAAAGCTGTGACTTCTCCAGGCAAGAACCTCTGTCACGTGGCTTCCAACCTGTCGGCTGGAAGTCCAGCCTTCTTGTATTATTGTTATTGTTTGAGATGCACTTGTTGGTCACTAAGTCCAGTTCAGTTTAACGTTTCCTCCTTTCTTTGAGCCGCTCAGACCACTAGCTAGCCTTGAGGAATAGGGAACCTGGAGCTAATGTTTTAAATGAGCATACTGCATATCCCACAGCCCGACTCCGGAAACGAAATCAACAATAGCAGGGACACCCTCCATAAATGTGGTTCTCTTTCTCCCCACCCCCACCCCCACCCTGTGGGAGTCCAGCTCTTCCTGGTGAAGGCTGCAAGGCAGCGGGGGTGGAACAGAGCCGCACAGGTTCTCGAAGGCTCCCCGACACCCCTCATCCTGCCTGACTCATCCCTCTCTGCCCCCACAGCCCACCAGTGCCCGGCCCACAGCCACTACGAGCTCTGTGGTAACTCCTGCCCGCTGAGCTGCCCCAGCCTCTCGGCGCCCGAGGGCTGCGAGCCAGCCTGCCGTGAGGGGTGCGTCTGCGACGCTGGCTTCGTGCTCAGTGGCGACACCTGTGTACCTGTGGGCCAGTGCGGCTGCCTCCACCAAGGCCACTACTACCCGCTGGGCCACACCTTCTACCCAGGCCCCGAGTGTGAACGGCGCTGTGAGTGTGGCCCAGGAGGCCAAGTCCACTGCCAGGAGGGCGCCGCCTGTGGGCCCTACGAGGAGTGCCTGGTGGAGAATGGTGTCCAGGCCTGTCACCCCAAGGGCTGTGGCCGCTGCCTGGCCAGCGGGGGCATCCATTACGTCACTCTCGATGGGCGTGTCTATGACCTGCACGGCTCTTGCTCCTATGTCCTGGCGCGAGTCTGCCGCCCGCAGCCTGGGGATGAAGACTTTGCCATCGTGCTGGAGAAGGATGCGGCCGGAGACCCCCAGCGCCTGGTGGTCATGGTGGCTAGCCACGTTGTGAGCATGGCTCGGGGGATGCAGGTGAGCGGACGTGCCCCTGTCCTGGGGACCTGAGGCCACAAGGGGGGGGGATCAGTCCTGCCCCAGCACATCTGAGCGGACATAATCTAACTATCTAACTTTGGGGAGACTCTTAGAGATATGGCCCCCACCCTGAGGTGTCCTGAGGGGAATCCTGCGGTCCTGACCAGGACACAGCCTTCAGCAGGGGGTGGGGAGTTTGTGACCCCGGGTGCTCTAGAGAAACAAATCCAGGGAGACTTATGTGTATCAGAGAGAGTTTTGTATATGAGAACAATGAATATTGAGAAAACGTTCCAGCCCAGTCCAGATCAGGTCCAGAAGTCCGATATTAGCCCATATGTCTGATCCCAATCTATAAAGTCCTCTTCGGACTCACGAAACACACGCAATGATGCCGAATGCAGGAAGATCACAGGCCAGTGGGGGGGTGGGGGCAGGTCCTGTGAATCCAGTGGTGCTGTAAGCATCTCAGTGCTGGCAGGGGTCTGTCTCCATGTGGCTTCTCCAGCTCTGGGCACTAGCTTAGCTCCATGCGTCTTGTCAGCTAGTATGTCTCTCAGGGGGTCTGCCTGCATCCTGCCTCCAGCTATCTGTTTATCTCCTTAGCACCTCCAAATGAGGTCTCATGCAGCAATCTGATTGACAGGCTAGACTCCACCCCTTCCCTCTGAACCCTCAAATTGACACCAGATTAGGGAGCTGCCACAGGAAGAGGTATCAGAGGGTGAACTCACCTGCTTTGCCATCCCTGGAGCATTGGTGGCCCAGCGGGTTAACTGTTGGGCTGCTAGCCGCAAAGTCAGCAGTTTGAAACCACCAGCCGCTCTGTGAGAGAAAGATGAAGCTCTCTGCTCCCATAAAGAGTTGCAGTCAGTCTTGGAAATCCACGGGGCAGTGCTGCTCTGCCCTTTAGGGTCACGATGGGCCTGAACTGACTGCATGGCAGTGCATTTCTCTGCCCTCCCTGTCTGTCTGGGGCGTAATTCCACGCTGGGAGACATGGCCTCCCGCTGGGGCATCTGAGAGGACACAGCTTCACCCTGGGAGCATGAAGGGGCAGCCCCACCTATGGCAGGTCCCCGACCCACCTGGCTCTCCCACCAGGTCTCCGTGGACGGCGAGACGGTGACTGTGCCCGTGGCGGTGGGCCCTGTGCGGGTGACGGCCGAGGGCCGCAACTTGATTCTGCAGTCCGCCAAGGGGCTGCGGCTGCTATTTGACGGCGGCGCCCACATCCTCATGTCCATCCCCAGCCCCTTCCGCGGCCGCCTCTGCGGCCTCTGCGGGAACTTCAACGGCAACTGGAGCGACGACTTCCTCCTGCCCGACGGCCACGCGGCCCCCAGCGTGGAGGCCTTCGGCGCCTCGTGGCGCGCGCCCAGCTCCTCCCCGGGCTGCAGCGAGGGCTGCGGGCCCGGCGGCTGCCCCGTGTGCTCCGCGCAGGAGACGGCGCCCTATGAGAGCAGCCAGGCCTGCGGGCAGCTGCTGGACTCCCAGGGCCCCTTCGCAGCCTGCCACAAAGTCCTGAACCCCTCGGAGTACTTCCGCCAGTGCGTGTACGACATGTGCGCCCAGAAGGGTGACGTCGCCTTCCTGTGCCGCAGCCTGGCCGCTTACACGGCAGCCTGCCAGGCCGCCGGCGTGACCCTAAAGCCCTGGAGGACCGACCGCTTCTGTCGTGAGTGCCCGCAGGCCCCCCCGGGGATGCCAGGCCTGGCTCTGGGGGTCTCCCTGCTTGCTCCTGCTCGGGGGCTGGTGCACACCCCCTCCTCCCTCTGCAGCCGCGCTCACACTCCTCTCCACCCCTCGCCCCAAACTCTGCCTTCTGCCCTTCTAGAGAGCTCTGCCCTAGAATTTGTGGTGACACGGAGGGAGGGTAGGCAGGCCAGGAGTTCACCCAGGAGAGCCTGAGCCTGTCACTCACTCAGCCTGCTGGACAGAGCCGTGTCCCCACAGGTGGTCAGAGCAAACCTCAGGCCCCATGTTCACCCGCGTCAGATCTCGCTGCACTGCAGGCAAGGGCCGCCACCCGCCAGGCCCAGGGCTCCAGTCACCTACCAGACACCCTTCTCAGGGTGTCCTCAAGAGTCCCTGGTGCCTGCTTTGTTCCCAACGGGCATCCCCATTCCACTCCTGAGCTCATCCTCCTAGTCTCCTGCCCTGCACAGCCATGCCATCTCCTGGTTTAACTTGTTGGCGCTCTGAGCCGGACCCTGGGGGAATCCTCTGGCCTCCGTTCCATCCCTGACCCCTCTGGCGGCACCACCCACATCCCTCTGGGCGCCTCTGCACTCTCATTCTAGAGAGGAACTCCACGAGTCCAGGCCTTAGGGCTGCCTTCATCTCACTTGTCCCCAGCCATTACCCAAGACTGAGCATCCAGTCCACCACACACCAAGCTCACTGCGGGGTCAAATCTGACTCCCACGGTCCAGTGCGTTAGGTATTGGGCTGCTAACTACAGAGTCAGCCGTTCAAAACCACCAGCCACTCCTCGGGAGAAAGATGAGGCTGGGTGCTCCCAACAAGAATCGCAGTCTCAGAAACCCACAGAGGCTCCTCTGGAGTCCCTGTGACGATCAGTCAATCCCAGAACGTCCAGCCAGTCAGGGCAGGGCCTGGGTTTCGGAGACTGCAGCCCCCTGGAATAAGGGAGAGTCCCACAGAGCCATGCCCTCCTCTGCCTCTTCCCCCGCAGCTCTGCAGTGCCCGCCCCACAGCCACTACTCCATCTGCACGCGCTCCTGCCAGGGCTCCTGCGCCGCCCTCTCCGGCCCCACGGGCTGCACCACGCGCTGCTTTGAGGGCTGTGAGTGCGACGACCGTTTCCTCCTGTCCAACGGAGTCTGCGTCCCCGCCGGCGACTGTGGCTGCACTCACGATGGCCGGTACCTGCCGGTGAGCAAGGGCTTGAGGTGGTAGGGGAGGGCGGGGGGCCGCGGGGAGGCCCAACAGTTCTGTCCCCATCTGCTCTCGGACGGACAAGGACAGAGGGGCCGTCCCAGCTGTGTGTGAGGATTCTCAGGTGGGGGTTACCCCTGTCCTCGGCTTCGCACAAGAAAGCATTCACCGGAAGCCTGTTTGGTCATCCAAGTGAGTTTTTGTGAAGGACGGGAGAGGTTTCAGGTTTTACAGTCTCAGAAGAGTGCATGCGGTTTCAGGGAGGGGAGCCAAACCGCGCGGCTGCCGCGCAAAGTTCACAACTGGACAGGAGCAACCTCGTAGGGCAGCACCCACATGTGCAGCACTGAGGCCAGAGAGAGCATGGGGGGCGGGGAGACAGCTGGAGCAGGGTAAAAAGAGGCCAGCCTTCCCACAGCCAGAGTATTTCAAACCTCGGGCTGGGGAGGCATGGTTGAAGGTATTGGTTGGCCCCATTGGCTGAATTAAGCCAACCTGGGCCTAGTTTGGGCTGCCCAGGTGTACTGCCCACCTGGCTGGGGGCTTGAATTGGAGGATGCCCAGTTCGGAGGTCTTCATGTGTGACTAATGCTCGCCTGAGTCCCTTCCAACCTCCTCTAGGGGGCCTGTACAGGCATGGCAGGGACAGCCCCCTGTCTCTAGCCAACCCACTTGTGTGTGGGTTTCCTGTGGCTGTTGTGACACATGACCACAAACGGGGTGGCTCCCAACAAGAATAGACTATTCTCCTGTGGTTCTGGAAAGCACAAGTCCGAAATCCGCATCAGTGGCCAACTTGAGATGTCAGCCGATCTTCAGATTAGTGTCCGTGTAGTGGACGCAGACAAAGGTGAGGGGTGGTCTAGAGCAGTGGTTCTCCACCTTCCTAATGCCATGAGCCTTTCATACAGCTCCTCATGGGGTGGTGACTCCCAACCATCACATGATTTTTGTTGCTACTTCATCACTGTCATTTTGCCACTGTGATGAATCGTCCTGTAACTAGCTGATAGGCAGGATGTATTTTCATTGTTACAAATTGAACATAAAGCATAGTGATGAATCACAAAAACAGTATGTAATTCTTCTATATTGTGAAAAATGTATTTCTCATGACAAATAAATGAAACTTTGTCTTGAAGCATGGTGTAGCATGAGTAATAGTCTTAATATAACAACAATAAACTACATTGCTACATTTTGCAACACTGAGTAAAAAGCCAACTTTAGTGCGAAGGTTGAGACAGAGGAGCGGGGTCTCGGTTCCTAAGACCATCAGAAATAGGTGTTTTCCCATGGTCTTACGCGACCCCCATGAAAGGGTTGTTCGACCCCCAGGTTGAGAACCACTGGTCTAAAGGCTGAGCCTTGGGCCAGATCGTGTTAAGGAACTGAGAGAGTAAAGAACTTAAAAATGGATTAAAGAATGAGTAGCCAGTCAGGTAGAAGAAAAACAGAGGAAGTAATGTACTAGGAGTGGGCCCTCTACAAGGCTCTGGGGGATGAGTCTCTAGTACCCACCTCTACCTGTATAAGTTAGTTTTTTCTGGGTTAAAAACTACTCACAAAACGTAGTGGTTTAAACCCACAGCCACGCGTGCAGTTCACAGTTCTGAGATTCTGCCCTCTGGGCAGGCTGGGCTCAGCTGGTTGGTTCATCTGGGCTCACTCATGTCTCTGTAATCACAAATGAGTTGACTAGGGGCTGGCTGTCTAGGGTGATTTTAGCTAGCCTCTCATCCTCCTAAAGGCTAGCCCAGTGTATTCTCACAGTGGTTGGGCAGAGTTCTAAGAGAGAGAACAACGCTGTCGGGCTTGACTGGACTTAAAACTGGCACTAAGTCACTGCTCTGCACTGTACAAGGGGACTTCAAAAGATTTGTGGAAACATGGAATTAAATGAAAATGGAATTGTTCTGTAAACTTTTAAAAAATCTCTCATTAATCTTATATTCAGATACCCCAATACATCTACCAAAATAATTCTGCCACTCTGGAAACCATTTAACAGTTTCTCACATGTTTATTTGAGCCATACATCATTGCCATGTTTACAGAATTGTCTAGGATGAGACTGTGACGTTGTTGTTTTTTGTTTTCTTACGACCACATTTTTGATGGTTGTGCCCCTTATTTTTATCAAATAGACTGCCTTAGTTTCTTTTGACTTTGTTTTTATCAATCCTTTTATTAGGGGCTCTTACAGCTCTTGTAACAATCCACACATCAAT